AGTTGCTCGCGACGTGCTAGAGCGATAGGAGTTAGTTCAATTTCTGCATTTTTTAAGCTAACTCTATTCTTACTTAGGTCAATTTCTGCATTCTCTGAGATCATTTGTTATACTTGGCTTTGTATAAATTTTGGTAAGCTACTTTCTCTACGGGAAGCGCTGCCGAAATTTTTGCAAATCCAAGGAGTTAGTCAAATTTTGACTTTTCAAAGTTCAACTTGTCTAAATTATATATATGGCTTAGTAGAAATTTGGGAAGTCTTATTTTCTAAAGGGAATGCTGCCCAAATTTTTGCTAATTCAGGGACTTAGACAAAATTTGGACTTTGGAAAGTTGAAAATTATTCATGTTTTCATATTTGGGCTAATATAAATTCTGGAAAGGCACTTTCCCTATGGGAAACACTGCCGAAATTTTCTTAGTTTAAAGGAGATAGATTATATTTTGACAGGTGGCGGTTATGGCTATCCACCCTGAATAGGGAAGATTTTGCCATTAATCTACCTTTGCTTTGGGCACTGGCTTAGAGGTAGATTAAGGCTTAGTTAAGTAAAACGATTTCGGTGGGATCGTGATATGAAGATTATTCTCCATGGACTTATAGATCTAGTCTGGGGATTGGTCTGTCTTGTGTTACAGGTCCTCTTGATCGATTGATTCAGGATTTGGGCTAGATTCAGTTTGATCCTACAAGGATCATCTTCTGTTATCATTGATAACAGGTCGGTTGCCGATTCGTCGGTCTACGATTCAACTCCAATCCACTCTTGCCACTCAACCTAAAGGCCTTAGCCCTGTGGTTTGAAATGTTTCATTGTGTTTTTACCCGGACTTTATTGAATGGCCATTTAACAAAGATACTGAGTATTTTATTTGCTGGAAGGGTGCGCTAAGGTTGAGGTTTGTATGGCTAAAGCAAGGGGTGTGAGTACAGAGAATGTTTGAAGTTGACCCCGTATAGTGCATGGACTTTTTTGTTGAATCTTTGATGTGATTGCAGGTATGTTTGGCGATTCGGACTTTGGATTTGATTGTTTGCGCTCACATATATATATATATGGCCGAGAGGAGTCTCACTGTGATTGTGAGAAGTGATCATCCTATACTAATAACCCTCTATATTTATGTGATATATGTATATCTTGAATGTTTCGTGCGGCCTACAATAACCGCGAATAAGGGTTAAACATATTATGTTTTTGAGGGAAGTAGGATTTGAGAAACGAACCAAATATGCCCCGGACGTGACGAGGTGGTATCCAAACACTGATTCGCACAGGATTCGGGTGCTACGGGATAAGGAGGATTGCATAGTATATCAGTCGGGGACCTGTATTACGGACCTCCCCTTTGACCCGGAGGAGTGGCAGAGGCCCCCCTCGCGCAAAACCCCGAAGACACAGAACGTGACGCTCTACAGCCCGACGGTGAAGGCCACCTACCGTTTACTGCGCCCTAAGGTGAATTTGAAAGATACCGTAAAAACCCGTTGGAGATCTCATCTGAATGTCGGGGTTGATGCCATCTGCCCCATTCGGTGGTTCTCCCTCACAAGGGCCAAACCTGTGAAGCTAGCCTCACTGCAGTGGCAGAAAGAGCACCGCTGCCTCCCCACCAATGACTGGCTAATAGATCGCACCTACCTGGAACAAAAAGGACTGGCACTCCCATGGTGCAAATCGTGTCACACGGCACTCCCTTCCCGTAAGATCCCGGAAACCATAGAACACATTTTCTTGCAATGCCCGGGGTCTGTTCTTACATGGCGATGGTGGGACAGGATTTGGAGGCTGTTGGACACTGGAACAAACTGGTCATGGGACTGGAGGGCGATCCTGTGTGAGACACAGAGCTCCCCTGCATCAAGCACCTTTGAAGATAACATGTTTAAAATAGGAAGGAGAGCAGTTATGTGGGCGATCTGGAGGAGACGCTGTATACACGTCTTGGAGGGAGTCCGCATACCCGGGGAGGAAATGACAGACATGATTAAACAATTCATACACCAAGAACTTGTGACGCAATGGCAGAGGGTCAAAAGCCAGCTACGTCTGTGCCAAACAAAGAAGTAAATAAAATAAAAAATCCGACAATTTTCCGGGGACTGGCTGGGTGGCGCGAACGGAGGCCGAATTGCTTCCATCAAGTGGGATGGCGGCCAAACTCGGACAAACGACGCAGGCAACCACGACGACAACCGTGAGCTGATCATTAAAGACTATCAGATCTGTTTCAGAGAATGGACAACGGTGGGCCAAGGGGTTCCGTTACGGCCACCATCGAATTTTCCCGACCCCTTTCCACCCCATCAGTTGGCAGTAGTGGCCATGCAGTGGTATGGGGCGGAGTAAGCACGACTGATAGACGTCGGGGCACCAGCATTAGCCCCTCATTCGGAGAAGGGAACCAGTTGGTGGCTGCACATATCTGGCGCTTTGCATAGGGCAAAGAGGTTCCTGTCCCGATACAACCTGCTCAGTTAATCCTCTGGTCCCCAGAGCAATCAATGCTGGCAGGGTTTTCTCTACTTCAGTCTGCATTTTCACTATGTACATGGGACGCTGGACTCGCTTTCCAGCAAGTGAAGCTCCCCACGAATAGATGGAGCCTCCCCCCACGGTGCTAGCGGTGTCTGCTCTTACCAGCACCTCTAGCACTGGTGAGGGCTGTTTTTGCAAAAAAAAAAAAAAAAAAAAAAAAAAAGGACTTTCCCTTTTATACTTTGCTTTTTAGAGTTTCTATGGTTCGACGTTGTAGTCCGTGGCAGCCGTCAAAGTCAGACCCCTTGACTTATTTCCAGGCCCTAGATGACGGAGCTGGTCTCCAGGGCAATAAAAGGCGATTTCCACCACAGGTATGAACCTGTGTACCACCCACTCTCCGCAGGGTGCAGAAGAGGGTGTGGTCCTCAACCGCACTTGGCGGTTGTCCAGCGTCAAGAGATCATTCCCTCAAGGCGAGTGTCAGCCGACACTTGAGTGTCGAATGAGACCCTCGAGATTAACGAGGACCACATGAGTAGAGGTACTACATAGTACGCCATCATTGCGACCGCTTGCGTACACTTGCATTGCGAGTCGATATGAGTTACCCCTAAGTCTCGCGTGCAACGCCTATCCGATTTCCGCATCGGAAAGTTATGGGATGGTCAGTAAGGGACTAGGAGTGTTGTCACGTTGTTTGTCCAGTGTCGTTCTGTATAAGTATATATATGTGCGTGTGTGTGTGTGTTTTATTTTTATGTTCTTTAGAGTGGTGTGCGCGTGGTGTGTGGGATGCGTCTTAGTCGACCAACGACGAATCGCGCTTGGGACCTCATCCCCACAAGATGTCGGTTCGCGTGTGGGTTCGATAGAGGCGTATTACCACGGGTACCCCCTATGCTACAACGAACGTGAAACGCCCTCAGCTGGTCCACCTCTGCGATTGCAGCTTATCAGCTTTCGTACTGTGGACTAGTAGCTCGGCGGGGATACGCCCACCGAAGGGAGGTGACAACTCCCGTAAGGTGGAGGTAAGTCGTGCCTCGCGTAGGCCCTATCCTGTCATAGGGGATCGGGAGAGGTATGGCTGGCGCACTCGGCCGGAGCGGCTTATGGAAGCTCCATGTATATTCGCGACGAGGATTTAAGACCAACTCCTGCGTGACGTGGTCGGGAGGGTCCCGCGCTGCCTTGTGCGGTGCCGAACCAATGCGATCGACAACACCCCAGCTGACCTTGTGATCAAAGAGTTTCACAAAAAGTACATTCTGCAGTGTGGACCCCCGAAAACTCTTGTAAGTGACCGGGACAATAGGTACATAAGTGCAGATTGGAAGGACTTCACCTCCCAGATCTATGGCATCAAACTCAAGATGACCTCTGATCGACATCCCGAAGCCAATGGGCTGGCCGAGGAGATCAACAAGACTGTGATCCAACTTCTCCGAGCTCTAATTGTGTCTGATCAAAACTTTTGGGATGAGGAGTTGCCGATTGTGCATGGGTTGTACAACAACTCCATACACTCCTCCACCGGGATGACACCGAACCGGCTGCACCTGGGATGGAAAATTCGTAATCCTCTATCCTATCTGTTTCCTAAACAGCCACCTCGCCTGACACCTGGCCAGCTAGGCTACAACGCTAAGTTTGATCATTTGCTCAAAGTTGTTGTCGCAGCTATGGAAAGGCGACGCAATGCCATGATTAAGCATGCAAACAAAAAACGCCAACCTGACCCTTTTACAGTGGGAAGTTATGTCTGGGTTAAGATGTCTGAGTTTTCTGAAGAAGGTGTATCATGAAAGCTTCCTCCTCAGTACTACGGTCAGCGGAAGGTGTTGAACCGAGTAGGAGATGATTCCTTTGGTCCTTCTTACACGATCGACGTGCCTACTCATCTGAGCACGTACCCAGTCTTTCAACATTTTCGAAGCCTTCTGCATACCACGTGGCTAGAACCTTCCCCCACGTGCAACCCTTGCCCTGGTACTTGATGACTCAGATACTCTTCCAGATAGACTCTTCTGGAACCTAGAGCCTATGGACTGTTACCTTGAGACCGACTCTCAGGCCTACGAAGACGTAAGTAGAGACTTCTAGAACAGACGTTCTGAAACTAATGGTAACAGACTTAAGTACCAACCTACATACCTAGGGATCAAGCCCAACTTCCCTTATTACAGCCTAACCTATGACACAGGGCAGGTTGAGGGTTCGAATCTCACATAGTCACCAAGTGATTGTACAAGACACATGCATAGGTCTAGAGATCGAATCTCACTCAGCACACAGGGTCAATGTACAGGGTGCAGGCATAGGTCAAGGGGTCGAATCTCAATGTCTGCAACTATCTTGTCCACTGGGTGAAACCGTTTCACTCCCGCCGTCCTAGATTCGAGGTCCTCCGAGAACACTCTAACTCAAGGAAGGACCTTTACCCTTTCTTTCTCTTTCATAGGCGTGTACTATGTCAGGAGCGATTTCTAATAGGTTTGCTCTAATAAACCACCTACGTCCTCCGGCTCCTGATATGCGAATCTGACTTTGTATTGCTTCTGGGGACGGCCTTGCCCTCCGCTTCTGAACACGTCCTCTTCCACTATGCGATCTATATCATAGGCGCCATCCATATCTGGCGGAATCATTGACCTTCGCGAAGGAAATCTGTCGTTGGTGGTGCACAGTAGTAGCTTTGACGCACGGAAAACAGGGTACGTGTGGAGATGCAGTGGAATCTCTATGGTGTATAATGGTCTGTCCTCTCCTCCTTTGACTTCTAGGACAGGCCATGGTCCTCTATATGCAGGTAAGAGCTTTTGCGAGATGTTCTCCTCCGGTGCGAACTCTTTAGACTTGGCCCAGACTAAGTTGCCTACTTGAAATTGTGAGGGTCGGCGGTGCTTGTTAGCTTGTTCAGTCATACGATACTGGGCCTTCCTCAGATTCCCAATCACTTTAGCGACTTCTTGCTCATGCTGCAATGCAAACTCTCGGGTGCTTGGTGGTAATCTTTTTATCTGATCCCGGTACAGTCCTTCAAACGGTCTCCTTGGTCTAAAGGACTTGTGCAGCTCGTTAGGGGTCCTACAGGTAGCTAAATGAACACTGTTGTTATAGGCGTTTGCTACCTTGGGGAGCATCTCATCCCAGTTCACTTAATCCGGTCTAATATACATTCTGAGTAGTTGTTGCAAGATTTTATTCATTTGTTCTGTCTGGTCGTTCGTCTCTGGGTGTCGGCCTAATGACATCAATAACTTAGACCCATAAACTTTCATAAGATCCTTCCAATTCTGACTGGTAAACTGTGTGTCCCTATCACTAACTATGGACAGCGGCATGCCATGGTCTCTTACCCAGAAATCAAAGAACTTTCCTATTACTAAATTAGTTCGCGCTTCTACATGTAGCGGAACAAAAACTACATACGTACGAAATCGATCTGCTATGACCATGACTTGAGTTTTGCCATGCCAACTTCTGACCCCAATATCCATGAAATCGATGGAAACTGACTCTCTGGGTCCCGAGGGTATAGGCAAGGGTCTAAGAAGACCTGAAGGGGCTCTTGTTGTGGTCTTATTGCGCTGACATACTTTGCAACTTCGAACATACTCTATGGAGTCTGCTTTCATGTCTGACCACGTATATGACATCATCAAGTTAGCTAAAGTCTTTTGCCATCCGAAGTGCCCCTCTGTATCGTGGCATTCCCCTAAGATCAACCTACGGATTTCTTCATTGTTGGGGATGCATAGTCTGTCAGCGACATTGGTCTTCTCGAATAACAACCCGTTCGTGGTTCGGTAGTGCGGTTCACTATCTGGGGCCTCCTTTACTCTTTTCAGCAGCTCACTATAGATCGGGTTCTGTGCATAGGTATCTCTTATTTCTGTTGCAGATCGGTTTCTTGCTTAGAGCATCGGCTACCACGTTATACTTTCCTTTTATGGGCTTCAAGTCGAAGTCAATTTGGTCTATCTCAATGGCCCATCTAGTCAACTTGGGCGTCATCTTGGCCTGTGTCTTTAGTCATCTAAGAGTCTCATGCTCTGAATACACCTTAAACTGCCTCCTAAGAAGGTAGTGCTTCCAGTGATCTAGGGCCTGCCTCAGAGCGTAGAGTTCCCTCTCGTATGTCGATGTTGCTACCTGTTCTCAGGGCAGCCTGGCTAACATGAACTCTACGGGTCTATAGTCCTTGCCGTCATCTTGCTGCAAAACAGCACCTATGCCATACTGACTAGCGTTTGTCGTGACAACAAATGGCAATGACGGGGATCAACAACTTTGAGGACAGGGTACTCTATTAAGGCCTTCTTTAATTTCTTAAAGGTTGGTGTGCAATCCTGGTCCCACTTCCAAATTATCTATCTCTTCAGTAACCTACGAAGGGGAGCAGCGATTGTGGAGAAGTTCCTCACAAACTTCCTATTGCCAACCCTAGGAACGAGCGTACCTCTGTCGGCGTCCGAGGAGTCGGCCAATCTCTAATAGACGCTATCTTACTGTCCTCGGGCCGAATGTCGTCTCCATCTAGTACATGGCGTAGGTAAAGAACCTCTGTCTTGGCCCACTCGCACTTCTTCGGGTTAATCTTAAAATTAGACTATCTCAACTTTTCTAGAATCTGCCTCAGATGGCCCTCATGCTCCTCGAGGGTCTTGTTGAACACTAAGATGTCGTCCAAATACACTACGACAAACTCGTCAACTCAGAATGAACAACAAACTTGCGCTTAAACCCGGTTCAAGACAACTGTACAACTTGTGGCTACGACCGCCAAACACTATCTCCACCACCAGCCTCACTCTCCCTCATGCACCCATGTACGAGGATCTACCCTGAATGTCCACGCTACACATGCCCACTTCAGCTCCGGGCACCTGCAAACCTCCGCTCACAAGTCACCTAGGCAGCGCTTCCGCATGGCTCATAGGCGAATGAATGAATGGCTGGACGCTGCCTGTTTATTTATACTTCTTCGGAGGTACCTCGGGCCCTGCCTCAAAACGCGTGGGCCTGGGCCAAAACGCGTGGGGCCCTGGGCCAGGAAATTTCCAGACCACGTTGGCCTGGTAGGCCCAAAACGTGTAGCCCCATAACACATTTCTGGAGCCTTTTGCATAGCGCGTGGCCAGAACCTTCCCCCACGTGCAGCCCTTGCCCTGGTACTTGATGACTCAGATACTCTTCCAGACAGACTCTTCTGGAACCTAGAGCCTACGGACTGTTCCCTACATACCGACTCTCAGGCCCACGAAGAGGTAAGTAGAGACTTCTAGAACAGACCTTCCTAAACTAATGGTAACAAACTTAAGTACCAACCTACAGACCTAGGGATCAAGCCCAACTTCCCTTATTACAGCCTAACCTATGACACAGGGCAGGTTGAGGGTTGGAATCTCACACAGTCACCGGGTGATTGTATAGGACACAGGCATAGGTCTAGGGATCGAATCTCACTCAGCACACAGGGTCAATGTACAGGGTTCAGGCATAGGTCTAGCGGTCAAATATAAGTGTCTGCAATTGTCGTCTCCACTGGGTGAAACCGTTTCAAGCACGGTCGCGTCAATTTTTTTTCCACGAAGTGCTGCTAAAGGTCGTGCCCTTCTTGGTGCTGCGTTATCTTACTACAACACCATCTTTATGTTGTGAGGGCTGGTAGCTAGAGTTGGGGCTACCTAGCTCATCTTGAGACAGCCCTGGGCATCAGGCCCTGTGCTTTGTGAGGCGCCTACATGTGTGATGTTGGGGATAGGCAGTGTTGTCGTCGGGACCCTTCTTCAAAGTGTGTGTCGAAGCGGCAGCCATCTTCTTCTTCATCAAGCGCTGGTGTTCTTCTTCGTCGTCTTGGGAGCTACCCTGCCCTGTTGAGCGGGCACTCCATCTGCAGCAGGCATCGAGAATAGGCTGCTTTGAGTGGTGTGTCCGATTCAAGAGGGTTGGTGGCGATTGGTGAGCTTGATAGGTTGGGCGTAGGCCTGCGCCATAGTTGTGAGCTCGAGGTTGGGAGGAAGAAGAAGTCTCCCTTACTTGATGAAACTCTGTAAATTGAAAGGGTTTCACCCAGTTCGCGCGACAATTGCAGGTCCCAGGGCTTGATCCCTAGACCTATCCTATACCCTTGTACAATTCCCCGATGCCCCTGAGTGCCCCGGACCCGTGACCTGTCCCCAAAAACGTACGACTATGTGTTGTGTGCGTACTTGGGTCGTGTGGACTTGAACTATAGACTATAGGATTAGCAGTTCTAAGGGTCAGTCTAGCAGCCTAGCCTAGGACTTTCTAAAATTTGCTACTTTGCTCTTCGGAGCTATAGGAGTCAGTCGCCCGTAGCTGAGTCAGCAAGGTAGACTCTGGTCCTAGCCTAGTCAGGATTCCCAGTCGAAAGTTCCAGGCCACCCCGTCCAGTCAGCAAGTACCAGGTGGGGCTGTACACTCCTTGGGCCTGGGACCAGAGGCAGGCCAGACCACCGATGAAACAATATAAATAAATAGGCATCGCCAAGCCATGGATTGATTCGCCTGCGAGCCATGCGGAAGCGCTGCCTATGCGACTTATGCGTTGGAGGTCTGCAGGTACCCGACGAAGAAGAGGGCGAGCGGCCATAGCCGCTAGTGGAGGAGGAAGACAACGGCGGCCATAGCCGCCCAGTCGCTGACGTCAACAGATAGAGCGCAGTGTGTGTGTGTGTGTGTGGGTGTGTGTGTGTGTGTGTGTGGACATTCAGGGTAGATCCTATGAGTGAGTGTGTGTGCATGAGTAGTGTGAGTGTGTCTGATCGTGGATACAGTGGTCGGGTGGGAATTTAAGACAGGCGTTCAGACGCCATAGCCGCAAGTTGTGACAATTGACTTAAGCTGAGTTCCTGGCCAAGGGCCATATGTCTAAGTTTTCTGTTTGGGCATTGTGCGCCATCTCAAGCTGTTGCTGATTCTGCGTTGATCAAGTTGTATTGCCATCTAGACCTACATGTATGCATTTTGCAAGTGAAATCCAAACAAGTTTGATTGCACTAGTATCGGAGCAGGTTCGTGTTGTTTGTGCAAGTATCGCGACGGCCATAACGGATGAAGAAGACGGTCGATGCGAAGAGGGAAGTGACGTGAGAAAGAGAGAGACACGCGTGTGAGAGAAGCGGACGCCATAGTGGATGCCAGCCATAGCTGCCAGCTCGGAGGAAGGAGAAGACCAGCGAGAGAGGAGGAGTTGACGAGAGTGAGAGAGAAAGAGAGAGAAGTGACGAAGTGGCAGGTGAAGGAAGTCGGCCTAGCGAAGCTCGGGGACGAGGAGAGAGAGGTTGAAGAAGGGGAAGAAGCTGCCATAGCCGGACATCGAAGTTTTGACTGGCAAGCTTTGACCAAGCATTGACCGGCGTCGACCGGGGGTTGATTGGCGTTCACTGGCAAGCGTTGACCGGCGTTGACCGACGTTCACCGGTGTTGACTGGCGAGCATTGACTGGTGGCCGTTGGCTGGAGTGCGGAGCGAGGAGCGGTATAATCCCTTCAAGCCCTAGCCCTTGTCCCTTGCGCCCTGTGGAAGTTACACACTCACCTTGGTAGTTGCTAAGAGTCTGTCATCTCTTTCTGCACTCGGTCACTCCTGTCTAGGTCGACAGGTTCTATGGATGTGGTCTAATAGGGGCTGTGAGCCAGTTTCTGCACGGGACTTAGTAGGGATGAGGTGTATCTAATGCCAAACGACCTGGGAAAACACCCGAAGGACCGGTACAGACCGGCAGGTTGCTCTGGGTGGTACACTATCCCTGAACTCCGAGTTACAGAGTGGGTGTCCAG